GTTGAGGGGCGCTTCTGTGAGTAGAACAGGATGTTCTTCAGGAGCGACTCGAAGTTCATTGTAGAAAGTGTGATGCCAAATCTTCTCCATATCATCCCAGTTGGTGATAATACCGTGCTCGATCGGGTATTTCAATGTTAGGATACCTCTCTTGCTCTGAGCTTCGTCACCCACGTAGCTGTCTTTCTGACCCATACCGACCATCACACCCTGATGTCTGGGGCGACCGACGATCGAGGGGAAGACGGCGCGAGGAGCGTCGTCTCCGGCGAAACCGGCTTTGCACATGCCGGAACCATTGTCCACAACAAGGGCAGCTACTTCGTCGTCACACATCTTGTTGCTGCTTTAGAATCTCTGAAAAAAATCTATAAAAGTAGAGATTAGAACAAATTGTTGGATCAAGTTGTTAAAATATATTTTGGTATAACTTTTTGTGCTGCAAGTAGTCGTACACAAAAGTTGCGCTTGTTTAAGTAGCACGTAGATTTACATAATGCTATCTATTTTTATCTAGAGGCGTGAACGGAAATTATGAAGTAAATTCTAATTATAATCGATTTCGTGTAAAAATGTTTGCTGCTGATTGTTTAAGCAAGTAAATTATAATTTTAATTTTCATAAATTGTATTAAAATTGATTTAATTAAATGACTGATTACATTTTTTTTTAAATAGAAGATAATAAAAGTTGCTAAAGTTTATTTAGTTTCTGACAATCTTGAATCGATTTAATGTATGTAAAGCATTGAAATATAATGCTTTTTTAACTTATTATAATTGAAGAAATCAAGTATTTCATTTTTATCAAGAAAATGATTAATGTTATTAAAAAAATATAGTATTTACGTTTACTTGTGTGCAAAAAACCGGCACAAACTATTATCTCAATAATGCATGCAGAATCCTTCTCAGCTAAATCTTCGTTAGTTTATTGGCAATTAGTGACACGATATTATTTCACTTGGTTTTTCCACTTTGAACGCTTCAAATTAATTTCTTCTTTATCGAAGTACTGAACAATATCGCAAACTTGACTTCACTATAAAGTTAGCTCTTTTCCAGATTATTCACATGCTTTTCTCTCAAAATTTGGACCGATGTAGTTTTCAATTTCTTTCGCTGGCACTTCGGAGTTCCAAATAATTGTACAAGCACAAGAGAAGCGCGATTCTTAGACTTGCTACTAACCGTGGGGGTGAGTTGTGAATCGACGGGCGGCTGAGGAGCGGCTGAGGCTTGAGAGCGTCGCGACGCCAGATATAACATCTGCGGTGCTGTACCCGACGCTACCGAAGATGGGCACACGAGACGCCTTCCAGGGCTGGCTCCCAATGCTGCCCACGCCTTGCGTCTCGCGGGTGGTGGTACACGACCAGGAAGCTTGTACGCAAAAACGTTGTTGTCTCACACGAAAACGCTTTTGAGTAAGAACAGCGACGATGCCGTTTGCGCGCGCCGCGACGCATCATCGTCCGTTCTTCTCTTCCTCCTCTTCCTTTTATTTCTTCTTCTTCTTCTTTCCCATCATCTTCTTCTTATTCGCGTTCTCTTGGAAATCCCCGCGGAACAGTCGGCATCTCCTAATCTGGACATTAACGCGAAGTGCGCTGATCTCGTCTGTACTCTTATCTCCTCTCGCGTCACACAACGTATTAATCTAATGTTTTGATGAAAACACTTTTAATCAGATATAAAACAAAGAAATCTGCAAGATGCGGTTTTAATTGCAGTGCAAACATTTAGTTTAGAATGTAAAAATCTCTTTTTCTTAACAAGTACCGTTTAAACTATTACAGAGTTAAAAGATTCGATGAAAGAGATATTGTGCGTATTTTTTTCTGGAATCTTTTAATCAATTTATCAGCAACTTAATAAATTTAGATAAAAATGTTTTAATATTAAAGAAAGATAATAGTTCGATATATATAGAAGATACAACTCATAAACGCACGTTATCTTCAATCATTTCACTTTGATAGATGTGTATCGTGTTCTTTCTCCTCAGTTTCTTGCCTCTCTCGTGGCCATTCTCGTTGTCGAGATGCTTTTGGCGTATGTCAGCAATCTCGGCGGCGCTTCTGAAAATATCCGCTGATGACCAAATCAGGATATTAACGCGAGACAGGACGTACTGCTCTGATGCAAAAAGCGCTTTGATATATTTAAAAGATCTATTACAAATATAATAGAGAAGAATAAAAATATACTCTCGCTGTTATTCGATCGCGTTGCAAACACCTCTGCATTTTCCTCGCTCTTCGTTACGATTCGATAAAGCATTCGAACACCACGACTTCTCATCTACCTACGTGACCATGACTGTACTCTCAGATATTTTGGACAAAGTGCCAATTGGCATTTAATTTATTCGTTCACATGAAACATTATGCTATATATGGGCCGCGCGTAATAATTCATTCCCGTTTTGTCGAACAAATATAAGAGAATATGTAATATAAATATAATAATTACATATATATACGTATATACATCTGGTAAGCAAAGTGGGGAAATATATAGATTGGCAGCGCTCGCACACTTTGGCACATATGTGTCTTTGTGACGACAAGTTGCCTGTATTTTGACACATTGTGCTATCAGAATACGGAAGTAAAAATAAATGTTGATTCATTTTTTATGACTAATCAGTATTCTTGATTTACTCCATTTAACGGAAAACCCTGTCGGTTATCAATACTGTAAAGAAACTATATTTCATTTTGTTTTGATAAAAGATTTAATCGAATTTGTTTCGTTTTTATATGAAAAATATCAAAACAATTATCACCATCTGATCTATGTTTTATAACAATATATTACTCCAAATTAATCAATGATATATCAATGTGTATCTGATTAACTTAATCTCTTATTTCCCTTTTTAAGTGTGAAAATTAACTATTAATCCTCTGTTTTAAATAAAATGATTCAATCATAAGCTTAACACATTGAGGACGGGCATATAACAGGAAGCGGATACGCAGATTACTTAATTTGCATTTAGTATTTTTAAATAATAGTATACATATAGTTCATATATCTGTATATTATTAAGATAACATTTGCAGCTCCTTGCTCAGTTGCCGACTGAATAAAAAAAACATGAAAACGAGATATCTCGTGACCCGTCCGCAACGTTTAGTTTTCTAAAAACGAGATATCTCGTGACCCGTCCGCAATGTGTTAAGATTAGATACATCGTATGATCGATTGACGAAAATTTGAAAAATTATTTAAATTGTTGCTGTAAACAAATTCTCATTAACATCTTATGACATATATGTCAAGGTCAATATTGTTATCTGTTGAGCAACGTGACAGTGTGTCAAATAAACATTTTATGTGAAAAACATAATTTTTGAGTAATCGAAATATAAAAGGTTTCAAAAAAATGAAGAGAATTACAAGAACATTGTCAATAATATATTATTTGAATATTTTTTTTGCATAATTCTTGTCACAAATAGTCAAGAATTTACTGCCGGAAGTCACAGCACAATTCAAGGTATCTCGATTTCTCTTTTGAATCTCGGCAATTAGATCATCCGATTTATTACCTTGTGATTGATTACTGAACCGTTGGAGAAAATTACAGTTGTAAAAATAGCAAACTTTATATAGGTTTATATTATATTAATTTCCTATACTTCTTCTCGTGAAATCTAACACAGAAATTACAGAAGAGAACAAAAACATCGAGAGAGAAATAAAATAGAAATTATTATCCTAGAGAGAACCAAAGAACTTTAATCTTTTATAATCTGTATAAAACGGTTCAAAATATAAAAAATAAATGTTAAGTCTTTTTAATTTATAGGTATTTTTTGTTTCAGTAAAATAAAGGTTGTTCCATTATTGCGTGAAGTTATGTGAAGTTTTTCCTTCTTTTTGCGGTCTCTCTTTCGGGTCTTTTAGATTCAAATTAATTGACCATATATTCATGCTATTCTAAGAGATATCCTTTAAGATGAAAATTTCTCACGAATTTACCTGTGCCGCGAACGAAAGAGAATATATTTAGATTTCGCAACTCAGGAGTATATTTCCCCCAAAAATTTACATTTAATTTATTTTACGACACTTCTCAGCGCGTCGTCGATCTCATATCACGTGAATGCTCATCCCGCTGTTTCCCGAGACACAAAAGTGCTTCAATTAATTTTTTTTTTAATTGAGAGAACATCTGCGTCAACACATTCCTGCAGATACTTCAAGTCAATACAAAAAAACTCTGATGATGGTATTTTTCCGTTTATGCAAATTTGTTTAAATTTATTATTGCTTGAAAACACTTACAAGTGTCTCGATTTCATTTTGTGTTAGGTATTTTTATAAGCTTGAAAGAGAAAGAGAGATGTCTTAAAGATGTTAAAAAAATACATGTTCTACTTCTTTGAAAACTTTCTCATTTTTCTTACATACCTCTGGACACCGCACAGAATCCAACTTCACTGAATATATGGAAGACTCATTGGATACGAGTACGTGACAACCTCCGAAATTTTGCACAATGCGCAATCTTTTATTCCGGGGTCGTAACGGGAGCCCTTGGATCGGTATCGTCCTCGGCAGAACAAGCGGTGTCAGCGAAACGAAGAGTCACGGAAAACACGCTCGCGCGGCAAGGACAACAATCGCAATTAGTAAGCGCTTTGTGCTTATTATTTGCAACTAGCCTATGTGCTTGAAATCAGTTTCATATTCTGGACTCGAGATTGGTCGCGTTCAACGGAACTAAGTGTTTTATGCTTGCGGATTGTTGGCATGTATTTTTTTTTATTTGCTCTGAGTCGAGAAGAATAGGCCATTCGCAGATAACAAGCGCTTACTAATTTGCGATCAGAGTATGAAACTGATCTCAGGCAAATAGTACACGGTAGTTCATGTGCCTTGCAAAGTCTCATTAGTTTTGGTTCACGGCGCGCGGCGAGAAGATAATAATAATGCGAAAAGCAAGACCTCGCTAAAATATTTGCACATTTCTTTCCTAAGGTTTGTCGTATATTTCTTGTTGTGAAATATGTAATATGTACTACATGTACATAAAATAGAACTTACGAGCGCAGTGCATTCTGTTTTGCAAAGTAACGCTATAAATGCGATAACAATTTAACGCGAAGTGTTTAATCTCATGTGCGAAGTCCGAATGATTACACAAGCAAAGCTCCCGTTTTATATTCTAATAATCAAATATATAATAAAATTAGTTTATGTGTAATAAATAAGATATTAATGAAATAAGACTTAGAAAATGATAAAAAGAACCTAGAAATATTCACAAATTTCTTTACAAATACTTGATCTGCTAAAATATTTAGATGGATAAAATGCGAACAACGTGAGTTTCTCCAATGTGAAGAATCTTACTATTTATCTTCGACAATCACGAATTCCGGAATGCAAATCTATTTTTTCCCGTATCTTATGAATAGAGCGAACAATGCGTTTGATGCATCGAAAGACATGAAGATTGCACAAAATTGGGGAAGGGAGGGATCTGATCGATCGGACAGAAATGTAAATATATGCGTGTGTTTTGTAGACAACAACACAAACGAACGAGGATTAGCTTCGACGAAGCGTGCGACAGGATCGCGTTGAATTGTCAGGTGGGGAGATGGCATAAAAGACAACGTGTCTCGCTAACAGAGGTCAGTCGACGGTCGGGACGCGATTGTCTCGTCATACATTAAAAGACCTCGTAGCGGTGAAGGGCTAACGTCACAACTTGTGAAAGTTGCTTGAATTTGTGTATAAAAACCGCTAGATTGAATTGTTGCGAAAGAAATCCGATATGCTGCGTCTGTAAGTATCTCGTTAAATGATTGGCACAATATTTGTTTTTCCTCTTCGACGCGTAAGCGACAAGTGACCGTGACGATGATCAATAACTTTGAGAAAACAACACGATGATGAATGTAAAATGCGTTGACATTTACATGATTGTTTTACATGAGATTGAGTTTTACAAATTTGAAACTATCATTCAGTTTCAATAAAGATTGTATGTACGCACGCACGAATTATATACGTTTAGTATTCCCGGATGTACTCACTTTAGTACGCACTGCAGAATATGTATGTACTGCGACAATCTCATGACCTAACGAGTTAATATGCCGGATGAGTTAATATTGTGCTCAACCGAACAATGTCATATTCGAAGGCCGAGAAATGCACTATTCATATTCGATTTCAAAACAAAAACAAATTTATTCCGACATTTTAATTCCATTCAGAGTATTTACTCTGAAATTTTATATGTGAAACAATAAAAAGTAAACATTAAAACTGTTGAAGATGAGAGAAAATGTTTCTCCTGGAAAATTATAAAATTATTGTCATAAAATATTGGATTTTTGCAAACATTTTAATTAACAAGTAACACTATGCCGCATTATTGACAGTATTGATAAGATACAATCTCTACTTGATACAGCTATCGCAGATGAAATGTTTTGATATCAACTATCTTGCACATGATTTAGAATTTTTCTTATCAACAATATGCAATTTTCCTTATCAACAATATGCAATCAACAATAAATATCAATAATATAATGTGATAAATAACGCATATATGTAATGTTTCTACTATTATTACAATACAAATATATACTGAGCAGTGTGTAATTATATGTTATATCAGATTTCTGGTAGCAGCAATCGTGACTCTGGCGGTCACCGAAGCTGCGCCGACAGAAGATACGACAATTTCTTCCGATGATGTGCAGCAAGCTACCGAAAATCTGAAGAATGCTGAAGATATTTTGAAACGTCTCGATGTGTTGTATGCGGAATGGAATAACAAGCAGAGCATCGCTGAGTGGAATTACGCGTCAAATCTGACAGAAGAGAACCTGGCCGAGAAGCTAAATGTGTCCGCGGAGGCGGCTCGCGTTATCAAACAGATCGCTCAAGAAGTGAACGCTTTCCCATGGAGAGATTTGCCGGACGAGGATGTCAAGAGGCGGTTCAAGAAGCTCAGTATACTCGGTGCTGCAGCGCTTCCTGAAGACGTAAGAATTTTGCAAAAATCAACTTGAGTTAATATTACTTTTATTTGTAAGAACTCTACAACCTTGATAAAGTGAGAAGAATATAAAAATTTATTGTACAAAAGTTGCTGAATATTCTCATACGTAGATTTTAAAGGAATATTTATATTCTCTCACATCTGAAACTTCTGTTTAGAAAAAAAAACTAGTTTCGCGGAGTCACTTGTAAAATATTTCTTTCATTCTCAGTGATCCTATGAATATAAGAAATAGTAGAAACAAAACGAAATTATGATCACAGAGTTTCAAAGAATTCAAGACAACGATCAGTCAAATGGAGAACATCTATAGCACCGCGAAGATCTGCGACTACAAAAATAAAACAAAGTGCGACCTCGCGCTCGAGCCGGAGATAACGGAAATTCTGATGAAGAGTCGCGATCCTAAAGAGCTGAAACATATCTGGGTGGAGTGGAGGAAAGCGTCGGGTGAAAAGATGAAATCTCTATATACAAAGTATGTCGAGCTGGCCAACACTGCGGCAAGACTCAATAACTTTACCGACTACGCCGCGTATTGGATGAAGGATTACGAAGCCGACGATTTCCCCGAGCAAATTGGTAAGATTGCATGCATGTCCGTCACATCAGTCCGTTACACGTGCGAAGAAAACTTATAAAACAGCGAGATTTTTGCAGAGGCTCTCTGGCAACAATTGAGACCACTGTATCTGCAACTTCACGCTTACGTACGACGTGAACTTAGGAAGAAGTATGGCGAAGACATCGTCTCCAAGGACGGACCAATTCCGGCGCACTTGTTAGGCAACACTTGGGCTCAGTCCTGGGCGAATATTGCGGACTTCACCGTACCGTTCCCGGGCAAGCAGTTGCCGGACGTTAGCAATGCTCTGGTTGAACAAGGCAAGTTTCGACTTGACTTTTCAAACTTTATGCTACTAAATTACAGTCATTTCTGCTTGGTTTTCTATGTCCAACTTCCGCTGAATACACGTTATAGTGGTTCTTTGTGATTCTATGAGCAGGTTACAACGCGACGAGTATGTTCCGTCTCGCCGAGAACTTCTTCAAGTCGATTAACTTGTCCGCCATGCCGGACACGTTCTGGGAGAGGTCGATCCTCGAGAAGCAGAAGGACGTAGATATGATTTGCCATGCAAGCGCGTGGGACTTCTACGACGGCAAAGACTTCAGGATCAAGCAGTGCACGCGCGTCACCATGGAGAACTTGCTGACGGCACATCACGAGATGGGTCACATCGAGTATTACTTGCAATACAAGAACCAGCCCACGGTTTACAAAGAAGGCGCGAATCCTGGCTTTCACGAGGCGGTCGGTGATGTCATCTCTCTCAGCGTATCCATTCCCAGTCATCTTAAGAAGATCGGTCTGCTGAACGACGACTCGACTGACCAGGAAGCGATCCTAAATCATCTCTACGCGAAGAGTCTCGATAAAATCGCTTTCTTACCGTTCAGTTACATGATGGACCGATGGCGTTGGAATGTCTTCCAGGGAAAAGTCACACCTGACAATTACAACTGCGACTGGTCAGTGTTCTGGGTAACAAATTAGCGATGATGATTGATCCTGTAGATAAAAAAACTGAACGTCAGATTTATCTCTTTATCGTTAAAATTATAAGAGGGACGTTGTGAGAGAGATACAAACCTTTTTGCTTCAAGGTGGTCGCTCGCGGAGGAGTATCAAGGTATCGAACCTCCGGTAGACAGATCGGAAGAAGACTTTGATCCTGGTGCGAAGTACCACATAATCGCGGACGTTGAGTATATAAGATACTACGTGAGCTTTGTGATACAATTCCAGTTCCACAAAGCTCTGTGCACCGAAGCGAAGCAGTACGATCCAAAGAACCCGAACGCCAATCCTCTGCATCAATGCGACATTTACGAGAACAAGGACGCAGGAAATCTGCTTAAGTGAGTTTATTGCGAAAATAAGAGTACGACAATAAATAACGCAAATGAATTCGCCAGATCCATGCTTGAATTGGGTTTTTCGAAACCGTGGCCGGACGCAATGGAAAGAATTGCGGGTCAAAGGCAAATGGACTCGGCTGGACTTTTGGAGTACTTTAAACCTCTAACCGATTGGCTGACAGAAGAAAACAAGAGAACTAATGAGTATATTGGATGGAAACCCAGTTCTAGAAGTACGTACTTGCGTCCAATAATAAGCTTTATTTTTTTAATATTTTATGTAAAATATATTGTTTATATCTCGTTTGTATGAAACACGCATGCACATACACGTACGTTGTTGTTTATGGCAACATATCACTGTGTTCTTTCATTTCAGAATGTGTACAGACAAGAGGAGAGCTTGAAGATACCACAGAGTCTTCGGAATAATTTTTCCGACGCGAAAGAGAATAAAATTATATATCTTAGCGCAAGATTGAAAGATAACATACAAGCTCAACTCCTTACCGAATGCTTATTGGAAATCTACATGTGTACGTACATATGGGATGTATTGTATATATCATTGCATTTTTACGTGCAATAAATCTACCAAGTGATATATAAAAATAATATTTCGACTATGTAAAAACATCACTTATCGAATGATGAACGAGTATTCATACTGTATTAATATTGTGCGATTCATGGATTTTTCTAAATACATATGTGTAATTTTCCATTTTAATGTAATTGTCTTTTATTTTTCCTCAGTGTGTAATTGTCTTTTATTTTTCTTTGGCTCGACCTCGTCCGCGTTTCTTGGTTGGTTCACCGTTTCTTTTTGACGATGCTTTGCTGGTACTGGCAGCAGTATTGATTTTTTTTGCCTGTGAAATACATTTTTTTAGTCGCATTATCTACTCTTTTGTAAAACTTAATGCTACATATACGCGAGTGTTTCACACACACACATTCGTGTGTGTGTGTTCTCGGAATATTCTCGTACAACTAAAGTATTCAATATAAATTTCGGTGTTGTCACCTTGATCATTCTGTCAGAATTAATATCGTCATTTTCTTCCTCATTATCTTCCTCTTCCATAGCCTCATCATCTTCTGGCGTAGATCTTTTCTTAGCTGTGACGTTACTGTTAATCGCGTATGGCAACATCGGCATGCTCTTCTGATACGCTCGCGTAAACGCCGCTTTTACCTACAACACATATCGCGGTAATATATTAACACTTAGTTTTTTAATATTTCAACTTTTTTCATTAAATAATTTTTAATACATTAATATTTATATATATACTATTTTTGTACATTTTGTACATGCAACTGCTCGATGTTTTGCGGCGTGCGCGCAGTTCGTTTCGCGCCACATTTTCCAACTCTATCATCGAGAACGCTACCGGTTTGTTCGAACTTCTTCACGAGACGTAAGATTACACTTTTTTTGGGCAATTTTCGACGATGAACATTAAAACTCTT